CAGCCGGGAAGCCACTGACGCAGGAGAGTTCCTCTAGACGTTTTTGATCACGTGATTTAGACGTAAACAAAATGACGTTTTTGATCTGCAAAATCGGGAATGAATTTTCCGTTTTTACTCTGTATGTGTTGATTCTATGTTGGCATCCAAGCATAATAATGTTTACTTGGAACATTATTTATCTCCGTTTTAAGCGGTTCTGCTCAGAATTCGCAATGTGACGTAAAAATGGTGTCCTGACAAAAGTTAAATCAGTATTTTCCGGCGTTGGTACCTTTAATCTTATTAAAATATTCCCTTGAATCGTGATATGCTGGTCGCATTTCATTTATTTTCATTAGAGAAATTATAAGAGATCGTGGTCATGTTAGTAAAAGAAGGATATTTGTTAAGGGATGAAAATGTGTCAGTTATCAGTGCCAGTCCGTAGAGTGAAAATTTGTCTCGAAGCGGTAGAAATCCCAGTGTTCGTAACACCTCCGGATTTTTCGTAATACTCCTGAGAAAAAGACGTTTCTCTAATGATGCCCGAATTGAAAGAATATTATTCCACTTTCTCAAACTTCTTTCAATATTATAACCTTCTATCGTGTTTTGTTATATATTTGTGCACTGAACAGTTACACAAAATATAATTGGGACAATTACTGTATTTATTTTCATTTTAAGTAAGACATTAGGACACAACCAATTAAAAAAATATAAGAATATCATATTAATTCCATATTTTTAGTGCAAGTACACAAATGTTTTTTTTATTGTTTATTTCTTCTTTTATCAATCAGTTTGATTTTTCAACTATGCCCAGGCTAAGAATTTGTGCACATGCATATTGATTTCCCCACTTTCTGATACCAAATTTGGACACTTCTTTCTCTAATACTGATTTTAAACTCAATATCAATGTTCATTATGCATTTGATAAACTGCAGAAGTATAATGATATTACCGAGGGATTTCTACACTATTTATATGTGTTTTACCCTAATTCAAACAAGTTAATGCTAAAGTTGAAGTATTTTTGTGGCTGATGATGATAGATTTAATTTTGTTTTATTCAAGTTTTGTTTTTTGTGTTCTGTCATTTTGCATTGTTTTTGTTTTGTTGTATAAATTTTTTTTTTGGGGGGGGGGGGGGGGTAAAATTAATCTGTCATTTGAATAATTAATATGCATTTATGCTTAGATGTACAGCAATATTTGGCTAGTAAATAGAACCAATTATGAAGTTCTAGGAAATGTCTTCTCAGGAACAACCCTTTTATTGAGGTTCTTCATTTTGAATGTTGTTGATATAGAAGTTCTGAAATCGTCAACATACAGAGATTTAATTAATTTGAGAGAGCCTGCGTGTTATGTTCCAGTTTTGCATCAGTTAAACATGATAAATTTGTTCCAACCTATTTTTTAACAAGATTTCAGAGTTTGGATACTTGGTATCTGGTACTGATTTGTCAGATCAGACAACAGAAAACAGCATTGTAAAATTCTGCTTGTATGTCCATTTTATTTCAATTTGGTATTTTTGGAATACAAATGAGATAAAGCCATTTTAAATTGAGTAACATCAGCTGAACAGAATGTACAGGAACCAATCATTTAGTAGTCTTAAGAGCAAAGAATGGTAGGGAATCTGCCATTATACTCAGTACCTTTCGAGCTACCATGTAAAAAAATGACTCATGATGTCAGATTTTACAAACCACATTGACATTAATTATCCTGAATGTCATATAATATAATAGTCAAATAATAAAAACAGAAGCCGGTGAGCCCATTTTGTAATCCAGTCTTGTTACAGGCTGCCATGAATGTAGCGTGTACCTTTGGCTTTCAATTGAATCTTTGCGATGATTTACTGGTAGCTTTTAATTGAATTTAGTCTTGTATTTTGATAAGAATTGCCAAGACTTAGGTCTTTTATAGCCTATCATATGGTATGGGTTTTGCTTATTGTTAAAGGCAGTTCAGTGACCTTTAATTTTTTACATCCTTATCCTTTGGTCTCTGGTTGATTTTTTTTTTCAATGGCAATCATACCACATTCACCTATATCTATAATAATGATTGAAATGGTTAATAGTTCTTGTTATGATAGACCAAATATTTTTTCATCACAATTTCTTTAATTTCACCAAAAACGACTGAATTACCAGAACTGTTTTTTTTTATGGAACAAAAGCATTTCTAGAAGACACAAACTATGGTTTATGATTTAAATACATCAAATACAGCAATAGTTCAAATCCATAAATGAGCAGGTTACAATTGATAAAGAAGCAAAAAACAGCATCCAATACTTTTTTAAACCAAATTCAAAGTCTTAATAGCTACCAGATTGCTGAGATTAACTTTAATTGTCATAGAAAGTTGGTGTGTCCTCATTTTCTAACAACAGCTGGATATTTGTTAATATACATGTATATATTGATGCATACAAAAAAATAAAAGAATTAGAATATATGATGAACAATTTATTGAACTACAAGAAAATTGTAAATGCAACACATGGTACTATACACATTTTATACAACTTGCCACATTTTCAGAAGATCCCTAAAAAGAGCCAAATATCTGTCTAACCAAAAAGGAGGTTTAAATTTTTTAAATAAAACATAAAGAGTATGGTTGTCCTGCTTTTAGCAAAATCTTTTTGAAAAAAACATGATGATCTGCCAGATCTGGTCACATACATGTATACAAAGAAGATAATAACACCAATAAATAATGAACTGGTAACATTCACATAAAAAAAGACAGATTGACCAGCATTCACAAGTACAGGTACTAAAGGTGCAATACCAACTTTCCCAAGACAGTACAAAATGACCAGCATTCACAAATACAGGTACTAAAGGTGCAATACCAACTTTCCCAAGACGGTATAAAATGACCAGCATTCACAAATACAGGTACTAAAGGTGCAATACCAACTTTCCCAAGACGGTATAAAATGACCAGCATTCACAAATACAGGTACTAAAGGTGCAATACCAACTTTCCCAAGACGGTATAAAATGACCAGCATTCACAAAAACAGGTACTAAAGGTGCAATACCAACTTTCCCAAGACGGTATAAAATGACCAGCATTCACAAATACAGGTACTAAAGGTGCAATACCAACTTTCCCAAGACGGTATAAAATGACCAGCATTCACAAATACAGGTACTAAAGGTGCAATACCAACTTTCCCAAGACGGTACAAAATGACCAGCATTCACAAATATTTACAGGTACTAAAGGTGCAATGCAACTTTCCCAAGACAACACAAATATTACCAGTATCATTAAAACATGAAATAAGATACCATGGAATGACATGTACTAGGCAAATGTTTCAAGGTAAACAAATGTTTAATTAACTATATTAAACATTCAATCTTTAAAAACTTTTCTCCTTTGAACTTTTCAAGAATATCTTGGAATGTATTGTAAATAACTTTTCACACAGGATAAAATTAATTTAAAAAAAAATTAGCACATTTAAGTCTCTTCAGATTTTTATTGATTTAATTTGTCTCTTGTCAAAGGAAAATTATGATTTTCCTAGAATTTAAAATTTATTTCTTAAAAGTGGCAATTACATAAACATGTAGTAGAGAATAATACTATGCAAGATATCATATATATTATTTTTAATTAAAATGTTCATTCACTATCTGTGGAGAGTCCTACAAAGACAGTAAACCAATATCTCTGTACTCCCATTCACTTACCTGAAATAAACAAGAAAAATTAATATTTTATAACTTAAGTTTTTGCAAGGCAAGTATCAATATGCCCCTCTTATTATCATGGCATGCAGACAAATATAATACTACTTAGCTTTCATAACTTTTTCATTTTAAATCCAACAACACCATCACTTACTTATTTAAAAGTACAAATATTATAGAATCGATAGTAACAAGATTAGCTTGATAAAGTACAAGTACAAGTTGTAGAACCTAGTTACTGATATACATATAATAATTTATATACATACAATGAAATTCAATTGCAAGAAATTACAATTCAATCCTTATCAATAAAAAAATAATGTATATTTACAAGGCCTTATTCTGTAAACAAGTTAGAAAACTATCAGATCCCTAGTCCATTCAAAACATATCATAAGTGAATGTGTACATCAAATCAACATTGTTAAAAATTGCTAGTCAATTTATAAAGTTATTTGTGAAATTGCATTAATCTTTGTACTGATTAAATCCACATACAAATATATTTGAATGTTATGTGTTGCTATTAATAGGCACTTGTATAATCAACATTGTTGATATACTTTGCATTGAAAATATTTTGCTGTATTTACAAACTACTGTACCCACCCTTTCAATTTTTTATATAATATACATACCTTAATTATCTGTACATTCAACATAAAATTTTCTCAAACCAGTATTTTAAGGATCTGAAACTTGTACAAAACATAAAGCAAATTAGTAAAGGTAATTGTTCTTGCTCATTTATGGTAAAAACATAATATAGGAAAATATCTAAGCCACAGTTATCATGTAATAAATGATGCTATCTGAAAAAAAGACATGAAAATATGTACAGTACAAAATTTGTATTAGACATAAATATTTGCAAATTCCCATTGATGTCCGTTTAAAATAAACACCAAGGACAGCCATTCAGTAGTCCTAAAAAATTGATTACTATATATATATAAAAATATTAATTTTCGCGAACCATTTAGGTCACGGAAATTCCATTTTTTGCCATCAGTAAGGAGAGTTGTACAAATAATGTGAATACACAGAACCCCGATCCAATTCATCTTTTGCTAAAAATATTTATTATTTTCTGTTTTATATCTCCTAACATCATTCCATTTTTCTCTAATTTCGATTAAAATATGCCAAAACCTGCAGTAAAAATAGATGTATGCCCCAAATAAACATTCCCCGATTGGTTGAACTACTATGTATGGCGTCGATGTAAAGCAACGCAAGCCTCGATGTAAAGCACACGTTCCCAAGAGTTAGGAGAGTTGTACAAATAATGTGAATTCACAGACTTTTGCTAAAAGTGTTCATCATTTTCTGTTTTGTATCTACCAACAACATTCCATTTTTCTATAATCCCGATTTAAACATGTCGAAACCTGCAGTAAAAATAGATGTATGCCCCAAGTAAACATTCCCCGATTGGTTGAAAAGCTGTGGCCTCGATCTAAAGCAACGCAAGCACACGCAAAAATTTCCGTTGATATGTTGAACTTCGACCCCGGGATTCAGCCGAGATAACCTTCAGCCGATTCACATAGAGATTTTCTTGCGCTCAAATGTAATTCTAAGTGAAGTATACTGGTAAAGTAAAATTATATTCTTTTACAGAAATATTTACACATTTTATCATTAATGTATTGTCATGCTTCTGCATATTTACGCTGAGCTTTAGTTAAATATAATTCTATACAAATTTTGTTACGTCAAGCATTAAGAGTAAGAATATATTTCGCGCCAAAACAAGAAAATAATCTGTGTCACAAAATAAGTTTATCAGCATCTTTCTGAAATTTTCCAACAGGAAATAGCGTTAATTATAGAGATGTTTTGGTAAGTATTATTTATTAATGTTAAGGTTCTCCAGAGGTGGTTCTCTACACCTTCTTGGCGGTCAATTTAATCCCATGTATCAATTATCCCCGATGGCACCCAGTCGATTTGTGTCATGAGCGAATATCTTATCTATTTGATGAAATAACTTCTTCATTAACTGTACATGCAATATTGTTGTAGCTTTTTGATAACCGTGCACATTCCCATTGCATGTCCGCAAGATAAATGGGTTAAGCATTTGTGAATTGTGGAAGTACAGTAATATTGTGTAATAATAATGGCGGAGGATAAAAATTTGTGACGGTCAGTGCGTGATCACGTGACATTATTATTTGTAAACAAACTGGCTCCCCATGTAACACGTGTCGAAACTATCCATAGAAGGTGCAATCAATCTTATATTCACCATTTGATGATATTTCTGTGTCTGTTTGTAGGTTTTGCAGATCATATGTCATAATGTAGTTTCATATAGACAAAAAAGTACCATGATTGTTCCTGTTCAGTAGTTGTGAATTTTTTTTTATAGAATTAGAAGGTAAGTCTACATTAGTCATTATTTAATGAATATAAAAATGACTCAACTCTCTGTGTAATTTTTCCCCAATTTTTGAAACATGCATAATTTAAAGAGCATTTGCTTCCCTTGAACCCTCCCCCCTACAAATTGCCCAAAACTCATACTCATAGTCCGAGGTTACTCTGATGTTCAACATCTGCTTTTTCGATTCCGGCATTTGAACTCTTTATTTTCAAATTGAACACACTTGGCCATTCAGCTTATTTGCATCATAAATGAACGAGGTGTTAGATTATGTTTTCCTATTGAATAAGGGTCATTTTTATAAATCAGATCTCATAATGCATTGTAAATTACTTTTTCTGTTGGTCATGTCACAATCTTTTAAAGTTAAAGTTAAAATGCCAGTATTGATGTGTCAACTGTCCAAATATGAGAAAATAGCGGGTGGCAGGTCGATTAAACTTACTTAAATGAAGAGAAAAATGAACTAATTGAGGCTCGATAAGGGTCATTTGCATAAATCAGTTCCCATAATGTTGGTCATGTGACATTCTTATAAAGTGAAAGTTAAAATGAGGGTGGTAATGGGGGTACCTTCATGACGAATAATGGTAAAAAATCTTGCCAAATGACGTTAATGGTAATTTTTGGTGCATGACGATAAAATGAAGACTTTCTTCAAGACGATAAAAAAATCGACAGATTTTGATGAATCACGTTCATTTTTTCCCAAAAATAACGGTAACTATAATTATTTGAGACCTCTGACGAATCACGCACGATAAGGATATGTTGACGAATCACGGTAAAATGTAACATATTTGACGCTAACGGTAGGCGAATTGACCGTTTGACGCCTGACGATAAAAGGCATTCATACCCTCTAAAATGCCAGTATTGATGGGTCAATGTGAAAACTGTCCAAATATGAGAAGATAACAAGTGGCAGGTTGATCAAACTTACTTAAATGAAGAGAAAAATGAATAAATTGAGGCTCGATTTATATGGATTCAGTCGCCTCTAGAAGCGACGAAGCAGCACATCCACTTTGGACGGCAAATATCATCTATCTGATATGGGACCAGCTGAAGTCCCACTGCCCTAGCTGGTGTCGTAAAACAGTCGTTGGAGGTTAGAGTAATCTCCGACTACGAAACTCAATTCCAATGACAAAAATGCCCTAATCTTAAATTGAAAGCATTGGAAAAGTAAACTGTAAATTATAATTTTAACAATGACCACAATTTGTTTTAGTTCAATGTACATGTAATAATATGCGGGATAATACATGAACTTAATACTGCTTCAAGGTTTTACAGGTTTGTCAATGTAAAAATAAAATAATTTGTTTGCTAACTTAGGGAGCTACCATTTGATTTTTAGGGGGTGGGGGTCTAGGATGAAATTTGAGAAAAAGGCAGGATGAGACAATATGAAAAAAAAGGCAGGATGACAATTTATGTAAAAACAAGTCAGGATAAACTAATAGAAAAAAAGGCAGGACAGATTACATCTCGAACTAAAAAAAAAAATGCAGGACAAAATTTTTCATCCTAGCCCCCCCCCCCCCCCACCACTTTTCCCCCCATAAAAATGGAAAGGAATCTCCCTTATAGTGTTTCCTTCAGAGGGTGTTGGCCTGGAATGGTACTCTGCAGTTTTCATACGCCTGTTCATGAGAAATATTATGGTATGCCTTTGTCCGTCCGTCTGCCCTGATCTGTCTGTTTCTAGCATGTTGTTCACTAACTCAGTAATATTTTCACTAATTTGCATGAAACTCTGGTGAATTGATTATATCTACTGACGTGAGCTTCCTTTTAGTTTTTAGGAATTTTATAATATACATTTTCAAAATGTGGTTTTATTCATTAAAAAAGGGGGATTTTCATGTTAACGCCCATTAACTCTAAAAATGCTTTGTTCACTAACTCTTCAACGCTTTCACCAATTTGAATGAAACTGTTGTGAATTGATTATTTTATAAATTTTAGGTTTCCCGTTTCAGAGTTATATGGGATTGTATTCATGTATTGATGTGAGCTCCCTTTAGATTGTTTTGGAATTTTAGAATTTACATTATCCTGTTACAATGTAAGGGGTTTTATTCATTCAAAAAGGGGGATTTCCATGTTTTCGGACTTTAACTCGAAATGCTTTAAGCAGTTGTCATTTGTCATGAAACTTTGGTTAATTGTTTATATTGATCAATTGATGCAAGCTCCCTTTCAATTTAATAAATTGTGGAATTTTATTCATAAAAAAGGATGGCTTTCCCAGTTTGCAGATCAAATTCAAAAGTTTGTACATGCACTTCTCTGGCATGTTTCAGTAAATGTGTAAATTATAACTGACATAACTTACTTTGACAATGACCACATATTTTTAAGTTCAATGAACATGAAATATACAAGGTAATGCATGTAGACTCGATACTGCTGCAAGGTTATACAGGGTTGTCAATGAAAAAAAAAAATTTGTTTGCCAACTTAGTGTTTCCTTCAGAAGGTTTTGGTGGGACGTACTATGGTATACTGTTGTCCGTCTGTCCGTCGTCAACATGTCGGACATTAACTCAAAACCGCTTTAACCAATTTGCATAAAACTTTGGTGAATTGTTTATATCTATTGATATGAGCTCCCTTTCGTTTTTTATAAATTTTAGATTTTACGTTTCTGAGTTAAGGGTTTTATTCATTAAAAAAAGGGGGATTTTCCAGTTTTCAGACAATAAAAGCTTTCACCAACTTGCAAGAAATTGTGGTGAATTGTTTATATCTATTGACATGAGTTCCCTTTCGATTTTTATATATTTTAGATTTTACATTTCTGAGTTACAGGGTTTTATTCATGAAAAAAGGGGGGATTTTCCAGTTTCGGACAAAAATCAAAGCAGTTTGTATGAAACTTTGGTGAATTGTTTATATCTATATTGATGTAAGCTCCGTTTAGAATTTTATAAATTTTACATTTTACATTTCTGAGTGATGGGGTTTTATTCATTAAAAAAGGGGTGATTTTCCAGTTTTCGGACAAAAGCTCAAAAATGCTGTCAGCAATTCTCATGAAACTTAAGTGAATTGTTTATATCTATTGATGCAAGCTCCCTTTACATTTTCATAAATTTCTAATACAATGTATGACTGGGAATTAATTGAACTTTATTTGTTTATAGTCTGACGACAGATTTACTAAGTATTGCGCAACAGCACAGTGTATTGCACAACAGCAAGAAATCTTTAATTTCATCACGTTCTAATGAAGTAACAAGCTTATTTTGCCGTTTGATCTATGCTTCAGTAACAAGTACCAGAAGTGATAAAAAAATTGTCTTTATGAAAATAACATGCAACTAACTTTAAAATCAATGCTTTAACCTCCTAAAGAAAATAAATCGTTTATTTCTTTGAATTTCTTTACTTTCAAATGAATAATTGCTGTTTCCTCGACTTGGTAAATGTTGAATATTGCCGATGACGAAAGCGACTGAATTTGAGTATCGTAAACAACAGGGCGACTAGATTTCGCTTTTGAAGGTCGGTCAAAGCGAAGTGGCG